CTGTTTCCAGAAAAGCAGCTCAGGAGTTAAATAGTGTGTTTTCAGTTATCACAAGAAGTGGAATACTATACACTACATCAAATTTGCCCAATAAATATCATATTTTAATTAGAAAACACTCATATCACACAGTACATTTTTGATCATATGACTATTCTCATATTAATTGCTAGTACACAAAGAACCCACCCATTTTTGATAGATTAATTACATTTTAAGATAATATAAAGAAATCAAGTACATGCAAGTAGTAATTATGTTATTTTTACTAACAAAGTTACATATTCTTTCCTTAAGGGTGAGTTTGTAGATGATGGCACTGAAACTCACTTTGATCTAGGAGGCCATCCAGCATACATAAAGGCTGTGAGCAGTGGCAACCGAAGGGAAGGCATCATTCACACGCTTATTGTCGACAATACTGAAATACCAGAGTCTGTGGAGTAAAATGCATTTTACAGAGGATCTAATACAAATGTCGGCAGCGGAAAATTGTCGGTTTCGTGTGAGAATAGCTAATCGATATGTCGAGGTGATTTTGTCCAACCAGAATGTTTATTGGATCTTTGTCAAAATAATAGTAAGAGGCCTTGAAGTGTAGGCTAGATCAATGATTCCTTAATGGATTTAACTTGATTTAAGACATTTTTTCACCTGTAGCTAACTATATAGAGCCATGACTAAGAAGTCAGTTCAAATAACCATCATCATGTTTTTCTGGGGGTATATTTATCTGCGGGTAGAGCAACAGCTTAAGGGCATATATAAAAAAATGGTATAAATTAAGAAAAAACAGTAGATGATGTATAGTAAAAATTAATATTAACTTGAAAAAAACATTTATTTGAAAAGGTAAAAAACAATAAAAAAATAAATATAAAATAAAAAAAAAAACCAAAAAAAAAAATATAATAAAAGAAAAACAATACATATCTGAAAATAAAGAAAAATCACTTAGCAGTTAAATAAAAATTAATTTTAAATAAAATCAAAAATAAAAAAAAAACAAAAAAATGTCTTTGATTTATTTATTAACAATGTTACTGTATACACACTTACTGGCTGTGAAAAAATACTTTGGGTAATTTTTGAAAAGATGTGGAAATTGCTACTAGCTTCATTCCTAAAAAAACTAAAATTAAGTATTCAACATGATATGTTACCGTATTTGTTACATTTATGCACCAGTAGGCATATGATATAATCTCAAGCCAAATCTTGGCTAAGTTTATAATTGTAAGATTATATACCAGAAATAGAAAAGGAAAAAAAATTGGGGAACAAACACTGTTTGGCTGGATGTGGTTGAATTCGTTCTTCTCCTGGAAGATTAATGGTAATCACAAATGAAAAACTGAACTTTTCAGTTAATATTATAATATTGGTGCCCTAATATCATTGATTATAGAGTCCTACTTGCAACATACTTTATTATAAGAGAAATTCTTTACATTAGTACTGGGTATTTTTCCTCTTTGGTGTTATGATTTTTACTATGTCATGAATTTAGCACAACTTGTTTGTTAACATGCTAATTCATCCTTGAGGTCTTTTGTAAGTAGGTGACCAAAGGATCAATAAAAGCCAATTATGCTTATTGTCAGCTGTGCACAAGCTTTTTAGGTATCGCCTTATAGTATCTCGTCGACATAATCGCATCTAATGCCTACCTTATGTTAGGCAGCATCTCTCTACAGATTAATTAATCTTTTTTTTGTTCTTTATAGATTACATAACTTCTATAGTAAATATAAAAGACACAACGTTTGATAAACATTAATAAAATGTCTGTCACAGTTCGCTGCGACACAATTTGTATTACGAATCCTCTGTAAAATGCAATTCACTACATACACAACATCCACAACACGACAACCTACTCAGGACGACTACACACACCACCTATTTAAGACACACAACACATGTCCAACACATCCGACACACAACACACAACACAACTACAGCACAGCGACATCCCAACCATGATCACACTCTCTCTCGTCTCTCATCTCAATTCGTAACTCCCCTGCGCCTTTCCCTTCGTGCCTTTGCCATCTTCTCTCTCTTCTCTCTCTCTCTGTCTCTCCTCTCACTCATCCGTCCTATTAATCTCTTCGTTTCTCATCTTCGCGATGGTCTTCTCTAATCTCTCTCCTCGACTCTCTCTCTCTGTCGTCTCTCTCCCTCTTCTCCTCGCCTCCATCGCCATCCCTTCTCAAACCCTCACCTCGTGCAGTTCCTCTCCCAGCTGTCCCATCCCATATCTCCCTATCTCAAATTCCGGCACCTAACTAATAAAAATAACAAATCATCTTACACAAGTAAAAAAAATTCACTCCAATAATAAATCGAGCACCCGCTGTCCCAACCACCAAATTATCTTGTATCTCCAAAATAAAAACGTATGCCATGAACCTTCGATGACACTCTAACAGCCACTAATTACACCTCCACACCCAAAAGCCGCCCCGCGTTTTTGTGGAACGTGTTCATGAACCTAATTTTCCGTGTATGTTTTCACGCCTTAAAGTGGGATTTTGAATATCGTAACTTTTGTTATAAAATACATTTTACTTATTGCCATGTACTTGATATATTTATATTATCTTAAAAATTATAATCTTCAAACAACTGGGTGGGTTCCTTTGTGACCTTTGGGCAATTCAATATGTGAATACCGTCCCTCTTTCTCTCAACTGATCCCTCTCTCCCTAACGCGTATCTCACTCCCATCTCCCTTTGCGCCATCCCTCTCCTTCTCCGCTCCCTACGTTATGCACTGCTTTCACTGAAGGTGATCTTCATTTGTGGATTTTAATTTGATCCTTAATATATATATAGTGTTTTTAAAAACTATAGGACTTCCACTTAAATAAAAATTCTTAATAAATTTTTTGGATAAATATAATAAAAAAGGCTTCATAAAAAAAATTGCTTATGTTTTGTACAATTTTCTTCCTACATCATATATAATGTATATCTTTTCATGTCATTCTACAGTGTATGCAAAATCTTCTCAGATATACTCTGTAACATTTAAGCCACTCATGCTATATGACATCTGATCAAGTCATGGTAAACTGGTGTAAATGGAGGGCTGCAAGTTGTACACACTAAACAATTGTTTGCATATTTATGTTTATCCCAATATCATGCATACCATAGCCAAAAGTTTAGATATAAATGTATGGTTGCCTTGCTTTGTATTTTTCACCTGAGCAGGTGATTGCAGATGAAACGCAGCACATGGCTCATTATGGTAAAGTGAAATCCCATCATTGAGTGGCTTAAAATATCAATTGGTATATGTAAAAATAGTAATAATGATAAAGAACTGATCATTTTTAAGATTTGGAAAGTAAACTCAGTCATCAGATGAACCTATGTTATCATTCACATTATGCATTTTCAAAAATGACTTACTTTCCATTACTAGTGTGATGAATTTGCAGTTTATAAAAAAAATGGTAGGTTAACCTAGTAATATCTGGTGTGCATGTGTTCATGCACTACACTGTCTACTGTAGTTTGGTTTTATTTTATTTACACATAGATGGCCCTAAAACCACTTTGTCACCAAGGAATAAATTATCTAGCCTATTTGTCCTTGCCCACTTACCCAATTCCTGGAATCTCAGAAAGAAGTGTTTTATATTTATTATTATCATGTTTTATTATTGTTAATCACACTTGAATAATAATAACGATAATGATACAAATAATGAGGTTAATAATGATAATAAGAGTCATAGAAATAAAACTTTTTTTCCTTACAACTTAAGGAATAGGTAAGCAGGTAAGATCGGGTAGGCTTTGTATTTGACTCCTTGGTGCAGCATTTTTGAAACTGTCGGTATATATATATGAAAAAAAAAAAAAAAAAAAACAATATTGTGGACACTCCAAGTACCTGGGACCAGTGGGTTAAAGTTTGCTAACATGATCTAGTTGTCAACATCCAGATCATGTTAAACTGACTGGGAAAAATGCAAGTATAACCGGTAATATCAATGTTAAATTAAACAACACCGTTTAGCAAGACATTACTAATACCATATGATAAAAATCAAAACTTTTGATATGCATTTCAGTAGTCAGAAAATTAGTTAATATATTTAATGTCCGTGTATTTCATCATCAAAAACTGTGTTGAGCTTTTAGTTTTGCATGTTCAATTGTTTCAGCAAGCTGAAAAGCTATGCATTCAGAAAAGCTTAATGTTATATAAATGTTATCTTTGTAGTTCACGCTTCCTGTAATTGTTAACAATATGTTTCAGTGGACCAAACAACATAGATAAGACACCCTTATAACATTCCCATTGTAAGTCTTGTTAACCTGCTCACACCTGGTACATGCACTGCACTGTCCATTGTATTTTTTTGTCAATTTTATTTACATATAGATGGCTTTACAAGCAACCAAAATGTTAATTATTAGACCTACCTAACCTCACCTAATTACCGCCATTCTTTGAATTTTAAGGAAAAAAGGGTTTTATTTCTAATACTGTTGTGATTATTATTTTTATGGTTGCTATTATCATCAATATTCTTATTCTTATTCTTATTATAATAATAATAATATAGAAATATCAACAATACTAATGGTAATAGAGAAAAAAGTAAATTCAAGGAACAAGGAGGCGAGATCAGGCAGGCCTTTTAATAGATTCCTTAATTCCTTGGTGACCTAGCCTTTCTGGAGCCATCTATGTATAAGCAAAATTAACAGACTACACTTACAGTGGACAGGGCATGTGCAAATGCCCCCACATTGTGGCTATACATGGACTGCATGACTTTTTCTCCATAATTTTAAGTAACTCCAATTCTACATTAATGCTCATGTGTATTTATTGAATATATTTAATCCAATATAATTAATATGAGATTCTTGGATAATGAAAGAGAACAATGCTGTTGTTCATACAGGGCTTCAATACTGCTCATGTTCTGTCCATTTAGACCTTAAGATGTAATGCATAGCTTTGATAATATATACTACTTTCTCACAACCATTTGTTTGTTATTCCTATTTAAATATAAACCAGGTTGAAAGATGAGACAGAGAGAGAGTCTTTCTTCATTCTGTGCTTGAGTGAGAAGCACTACCCTCTGTTCTTTTTTTTTCTCTTCTGTTAGCATTTCTGAACTTGATTTTGTTTCAATAATTTCTTCAAAGATCAAACTAAGCCAAAAAGAAGCAGATAAATAACATTATGTACTTTGAGCACTCTACATTAACAATAATGTCAAACAAAAGACAATTATCATGATAAATGGTATATAATTTAGTTTACAATACAATCCAATATAGAACAAAATCATATGTTTTTTTCATATAAGATACATGGGCACTAATGCTTCTGAAAATAATATAAAAACATTTGTAATTTATATTCATGAAAATTGTATATAAATGGGACAATTTAAAATTCAAAAGCAATTTCACTGATCACTTATATAGCCATATGCTTACTGTAACTGACAATCTGTTTGTAATAATTATGTTTTTACAAAATCATAGAAACCATTCATCGTCAATTGCATTAAGCAAAATACAAACAATAACATGAAGATATTACTCCCTAGATAATTACTTAAAAGCAATTTCAAAACATAATGAAAAAATGTATGATCGTACACTCCCATGTAAGATGGTAAAAAAGTAATTTTCAAAACATAATGAAAAAATGTATGATCATACACTCTCATATAAAATTGTAAAAACTGGGATCCATCATATACATACATGCACATAGTTAAATTACACATATATGGTGCTCTCTCTAATTGTGAGGCAAATCACATTCACAATTCAAAGAAAACTGCAATTGAATTTGGGTATATTCACCTTAAATCAAAACCTGAGCAGATGGGAAGCATGTAAAATGAAATGATGAAATAGATGAAATGAAATGAAGACAAGGAGAGAGAGAGAGAGAGAGTGAGAGAGAGAGTGAGAGTGAGAGTGAGAGTGAGAGTGAGAGTGAGAGTGAGAGTGAGAAGTGAGAGTGAGAGTGAGAGTGAGAGTGAGAGTGAGAGTGAGAGTGAGAGTGAGAGAGTGAGAGTGAGAGTGAGAGAGAGAGAGAGAGAGAGAGAGAGAGAGAGAGAGAGAGAGAGAGAGAGAGAGAGAGAGAGAGAGAGAGAGAGAGAGAGAGAGAGTGAGAGTGAGAGTGAGAGAGAGAGAGAGAGAGAGAGAGAGAGAGAGAGAGAGAGAGAGAGAGTGAGAGTGAGAGTGAGAGTGAGAGTGAGAGTGGAGAGTGAGAGTGAGAGTGTGTGAGTGTGAGTGTGTGTGTGTGTGTGTGTGTGTGTGTGTGTGTGTGTGTGTGTGTGTGCGCGCGCACAAGAGATAGTGTAATAGGGAAATCGAGAAAAGGATGAAGAGTGAGACCAACCAATACATCTAGGTGAGCCAAAGAGTGGTCTGTTAGCTGATTGGTTGTGAAGGTTATGGAACATAAGTAAACTGACTGGTCATACTTCCCCTGGCCTCTGCTCAAGTACCACCTAGAATCTAGTGCTAATGATGTTCCTACCAATACTTCAAATATTTATCTCAAAGTTTGTCTGAGAATGCCTGACTGACTGGCTGATGTAAGATAGGTAACATCTTAAAACTGACCCCAGTCCCTACATCATTTTGGCAAGGACTGCAACACTTACACTTCTCATTCATGTGTAAACACAAACACACATCTATTTATCTGTATCTATGTATCTATCAATAAATGTAAATATATATATGTATGCTATGTGTGTGTATATACAAACATGTGTATATGTACATTCATATGAACATATCAACACAAATATAGTAAATGTACTATGTACATATACTTCTAAAAACAAATAACTTTAACAAAATCCATCTTGCAAATATAAATATATGTCTGCTAAAATAAAATCTATTAAAACAACTCAGTTCAATAGCAAACATAATTCAAGTAAAGTTATACACATTTACTCATCAGGACATGATATATCAACTATACTATGACCAAACATCTTGTAAATATCTCTTTTCAAGTTGCATTTGTGCCATGTATCTTCTTGCTTCAATTTCTGTAAAGCCCCTCTGTTGCTTAAGTATGGAAACAAAAGTGTCAAACACATCCTTTGACATGTTGCGTGCATCTCCACAAACATAAACAATAGCTGCTTTATCACTAATCAATGATGCCATTTCCACATCGTATTTGATAATATTGTCTTGCACATATCTTGGACTGCCTGGAGGACTTTCATCTCGAGAGAAGGAGACAATCAAATTAGTCAAGATTTTACCGTCTCTGAACTTTTCCAGTTCCTCACGATACAGATAGTCTCTTTCTTTATGACGGCATCCGTAAAAGAGCCAGGATTCACCAAAGGAGATGTCAGGAGAATCTATTTGCATTCTATGTCTATGCTGCAGGAAACCTACAAATGGTGCCACTCCTGTGCCTGGACCAATCATTATAATTGGACTTGAAACATCTGCTGGGAGGCGGAAATTCTGATTAGTCCGAAGGTATATAGGCACACATACTGGCCCTTTGTCTTCAATGGACAAAACTTCCAGAGACTGTTCTAGTTTAGACATTTCAGCAGATCTGTATAAAGAGGCAAGCCAGCCCGTACAAATGCCTTTCCTGGCAAAGATAGTAGCCTTCTCTTTTGGAATATCAACAACATTAAATACAAAAGATATTTTTCTAGAAGCAACAAGAGGGGAAGAAGTAATTGAATATGCCCTGGGTAGAAGCTGTGGCAAATGTTCAAGGAGGGTTGTAACTGGAGGTTTACATGTTTGGAAAATGCACAATAAATCTATGAGTGTAAGCCCTTGTTCTCTTACAGACTTTACATACTCACTTGCACATTCTTTACTCACTAGTTCTTGCAATCGCCTCTTTTCTGTGGGATCTGATGTCCACTGGACTAAAGTTCTCAACAAAGGTTTTTTGGGAACAGATCTAATATCAACACAGGACTGAAAAACAAAATGGAGAGAACTCCTGACAGGTATATGTTTTGGTATTGCAGCCCCTTTCTTCTTAGTGCTTGGATCAACTGAGAGTTCATACATTTTTTCTGCTACATCACTAATACCCAACAAAGAGAGAAAGAGTTCTACTTCTTCCTCCCTGTTCTGCACAATGATCCCAAATGAGTCTCCAGGCTCATAATCTAAGCTATTTATGGATTCAGGAACTGTTAGGCTAACTTCTAATGCAGTTTTCACAGAATTATGTTGAGTTAATTTTCTAATAGAAGTCACACTTGTCCTAATTACTTCTGATGCAGCACTGGGTAAGGCTGGTACATGTTCAGGACCTGATTCCTTTTCACTATTTTCCAAGTACCTTATCATCAAATAGTCTGATGGAAGAACAGGCAAGGTCAGTTTTGCATCTGCAGGTAATGTACATGTTCTCACAGGGAGGCACTGTAATTCATCACGTGACAAAAAATCTAAGTTGTATTTCTTGGCTATTCTTGTGTAAGTATCTTCACTTGTCAGGTCACCTTTCAGAATATTCTCATTGCTGTTCTGTGAAGTAGTTTTTATTTCTTTATCTTTAGTAATACGTTCAGCCTTTAAAGATTCTTCGTGTTTCAATGATGGAACATTTTGGGAAAGAGAAGGATCATCAGTGGTTGGGTCCTTATTGATACTGTTCATGTTAGTATTCACCTGCTGCAAAGTGCTTGAGTTATCTACAAATTCTACTTCATTACATGAATCTACTACCTCAGCCATCTTGTCAATATGTTTTTGTAGTGCAGGAAAAAGTCCCTCAATCCACGGTTCTACCACAATTTCAAGGCCAGTTCCATCATCAGCCCAACCACATGGATAAAATCTGCAAAAGTTTAAAGAAAATTGTGTAAAGAGAAGTGGAAGGACTGCGTATTTTATAATACTTACCATTCAAATAAATATTTTAGAAAATCACAAGCACAAATATGATAGTATTAAAAAAGACAAGAAAATATATGGAAATACTAATTTCTCCAGCTTCATATATTTTTTGCCAGTGGAACTTTGAAACTACAGCAAAAGTGAGAAATTTACACCATATCTAAATATTCACCTTATTTTATAATAATAATAATAATAATAATAATAATAAATAGTTCTCAATCTTCATCCATGTTTTCAAAAATTTGTTCATGAGAAACCAATCTAAAAATAAAACTTGTTAAACTCCATTGTCTTACCTTTTACCACCTAGATCCTGGAGCTTCTGATCGATTGTTTTGCCAAAATTACAAAAGTTAGTGTAATTAGTGTCACCTAGTCCTAGTACAGTATAAGACAGGTGACCAAAGACATCGCTGGGTTGACCCTTTTTGTGCAGCTGACGCCAGAATTTGCGAGCTGTGTCTGGAGGTTCGCCGTCACCTGCAACACCATCATCAATTAGATAAGGATAAGCCTTTGCAACTCTCACCCTTTTTCTTACCAAACACATCTCCTATACTATCTCAATTTGCTTGAAAATAGGTCTTTTTTGTTTTCATTGGCAAAAATCCCCCAAAAAAAACAACAACAAAAAATATATATATATCTTTTTCATTCATTTATCTATTTATTTCATTTTTTGATGGATCTTTTTTATCAAAACCTTAAAGTATATTTCTTAAACAGGTCTTGAAAGTCTTTTAAATTGGCTTTGAACTGAAATGCTAACTTGATGCAAACAGGAAACTAGGCAAAACCTGAAAACATCTGAATAATTTAAAACAAATTCACAGGGAGAAGGGTATAGCAAACTTGGGGAAGGTTTCCACAATGAAAACAATTATAAACTAGTGGCCAAAATTACTGAAAGAAAAGAAAAAAATCATACTTTTTATGAAATACATCCAAACTTCAAAATCCATTCAAAATTACATAGGAATAGTCTCAACAGCTGGGTAAATTTGCAAAGAAACCCAATGTACATAAACATACCTTCTACAATATTTCAAATATACATTGTTGTTGTTTTTTCTTCTTTTTGGGGGGAATGCACATACTTTGAATTACTACTAGTAAATTTTAAGGAAGCCTAGCAAGCTATGGGAAGTTTGTTCAAGACTGAAAGGTACTAAAAGTACACATATCTTAAAATGGCCAAATTTTGTCATCAGGCCAATTTTGATGGGATGGTTCTTGTAATTGTTTTATCATTAAACATTTCATGCTATCAGTGTCTCAATAATATTTCAAAGGTAATGGCTAGGCCCAAGAAACATTTTTTTTGTTTGTAAAATTTTGTCTCTTTGGTATCAAGAATTACTCTATCAACAGTTGAAATAAATATGATAAATTCTATGACATCCACCACTAAAATGTTATCACCATGTAAATAATTTTAGTTTCAGGAAGAGTGCAGGAAGCTTAGATGATGTCATAGGTGTACATCCGTACATGATTTAAGTAACCTACTGCAACATTCTCTCTCTTTTTTATTCATTCACACCCTCTCTCCTTCTTTTTTTCATTCAATTTCATTTATTCACTCTCATTCTCTCATCTACTAATTTATCTTTCTCTTGTACTTTAACTTTCTCTATTTCTTTTCTCATTTATCCTTCATCCTCTTTTTACTTAAAGTAGGCTATTCTTTTTTTTCCTCATTTATCAAATTATCTATTTATTCTCTCTGCTTCCCTGTCCACTGCTGGAACATTTGAATTTTTGGTACAAACTCTAAACTTGTTCTGTGGCATCTCAGCCTCTCTGTCGTTGCCCTTAACCCACTCATGATGGGAGCCACAGTCTTATACCAAAGCACACGTCTGGGCATATGTGGAGCTAGCTGCTTGTGGCAAAAATCAGGTGTGAGAAACACAGAATTAACCAACTCTCATAAACACCTGCTTAGGTAAAGAGATTAAGGAGACTAAGAGGCTTTAAGCCTGCTTTTGAGGGGCTGTTTCTCTTCAATGACCACAACTATGGCCAAATTAGAGCACAACTGTTTAGCGTGCACAACTGTACATGACATGAAGATATCATCATCCTAATGTGAGGGGTGGTATACTATGATGTGAAAGTTCATCATACCCCCTTGTCCAAAGTTAATAATAATAACAATAATAATAATTATTATTATTATGACATCAGTCAAATTATGGCTTGTCTGTTTATTGTGCTTCTAAACTATCCCAGGTGCAAGGAATGGCCGGGGTTACCATCCACTGGTGGTGCGCGGGAACTGAACGCAGGTCAGCTAGGTTGCTAGACGAAAGCACTACCAGAACACCACACAGTTAAGCAAATATGAGTAAATATCTATCCATTCCACATAAGACACAGTAGTGGTATTAGCCAAATGTCTAATGTGATATCACAGTTTCCATCGTCTTTCTGAGATTCACATTTGGTTCAGTTGCTGGGTACACTTCAAGCGTGATTTCTTTCATAAATACTCATTACATTAAGTTACTTGTTAATGAGAATTATTGAACAATGCAGAATATATTTTGATATAAAAATTGCACAGGTCATAAACTTTGTTTTATGGGAAAACAGAAAAGTTAATCACAATGGGTGTTTTCGGTGAAATGCAGCATACACTTTTAAAAACCAGTCAGTTAAGAAAAAATATATGTAACCACAATTGTGCCTATTCAAAACATAGAATAATGTAAATTTTAAGAATGTCATCACTGACATAATACCATGAGGCAGTAAGGCAAAATGACACTTCATGATGCAACAGAACCTAACTGGAGTGTCATGTCATTTACTCCTGTCAAACCATTTCGTCTCACCCGTTGTAGATCCAACCAACACAAGACACCTAGTTTCTTCAAGGCTGAAAGTCTTCCCAATCTCACTACAACATCTCAGTTCACAGATCAGGCCCTTGGATTCACACTGCTCTGCTAAGTCTTCTGCTATGGCTTTCGCGTTCCCTTTCTGTGAGGCGTAAAGGAGAACAAACCCATTGCGTAATCTACTACTGTTCTTCATGTCTTCTATCGGACTGAGAACTGTTATTTTCGGAATTGGGTATTTATGTGACTGTCTCCTGTGAAGATGCCAAGTATTCAATTATTATCTAATGAATACGAAGGCAAAACTACTCAGGACTCAGACCGTTTCATAAATATTTATATATTGAAAATAACAAACAATACAATCCATATAACTTCCATTTTTTCCGATTTTCAAATGTTGACTAATTGAATGAGCAGCGAGTATGAAGCAAAATCAGCTGTTGCAATTGTGCCACATTTCAAATATTAGTTGTATTAAAAAGTAAAGTATGCAAAATTTTGCATTGTTTTTTAGACGTAAAATTAAATTTTAAAAAATTGTAAAGCCAAAATGCTTATTCTATCTTGTGGTGCTTTTAATATCTTTCTCTTTATTGGAGAGTAGGAGCATTTGGCCGCAGCAAATCTCGTTTTAAAGGCTTCTTATACTCCTTTATTTACCAATGATAGGAATATTTACCATAAATCAATTTTGAATACTGATACTGAATATAATTTAAATGATGAATTTTTCAGCAATTATATTTTGGAATACTAAAGCTATTATGAGTAGATACGTAAAAGAAAGGATAAAAGTGTGCATAATTGCATCAAATATCTTAAATAAAAGTTTTATAGATTATTAATAGTTTGCTCATATTGAAAATACATATTAGCAGATATTTTATGACTGAGTTTGAAATCCACAAAAGATAATCTAAAGGCTGTGAACAAGACCAGAATGATATGAGATTATACGCTTTTGCCAAAAAAAAGATTGCCAATTACGTAATGTAATCCTTAACTACAAATTTTAATATACATTATATAAACTATTTTAGTGAATATCTAGGTACATATGCAGTATGTTCAATTAAAAATATTACAAAACAAGAAGATAAATGTAAATATCGCTAAGAGCATTTCGTACTCCTGAAAAATGTTGGGGTCGCTAACGGTGCAGGGAGTGAGGTGAGCCTGTGCGCGGTTTAAAAGAAACAAATGGGTTGATGTGATGTGGACAGAGGATATTTAAGTAGTTTTAAGCGAGTAAATACGGCTATCTGGCATGTTTTCGTCGGTTCAGGCTGTGTTTCTCATTGATGTGAACAGTTTCGTAGGCCTATCGAACAACGAGAGTGAATTAGAGCGAAATGTGGCCCGGTTGAAGTTGGGTTGCCTGAAGTTGTTGACGGAATTTGGCGCGCGAACTGAGAAGGGCTCCGAGGAGGTGCGATGGTCCTGTAAGTATTATGACTCCCTCTCCTTCAGGCCGGACACCACCAGGAAGAGCTTTGTGGACTTCAATAGGAGCTCTTTCGATGAGTTTGAAAATGACGTCACGGACAGGTTTTGCAAAGCCTTTGACACCAAGCAGGCGCCGGGCGAGCAGCCCCTGGCAGGAGAGCCTGGCAAGCCCCATTGTTACATCCTGAAGAAGGCTCTGCAGGAGGTTCTCCTCGATTACAACTGGGACAGGCCGGACATCAGTTCGCCCGTGAAGACGAACAGGCGGAGGACGAAGGGCGGGCAGAGCAAACTCCTTCCCGAGAATGTAGGTCCTTACAACAGTGTGATTGTGTGCACTCGGGTGCCTCACAGCCTGGAGGACGTGAGGCTCTTCTGCGGATGTGATTCGGAGGCTGCAGAGGCGCAGGTGACGGCCGAAGACTTCCTTGGCACCGTTGTTGACCCTGCATTGCTCAAAGGGTTCCAGGAAGACAAACAAATACACCTGAACTTTATTAACGTATCAGATGCCCCAAATACAGCTGCAGTTGATCCCCGTGTTACAAGCACCATAAATGCAGGTCTAAGCAAACTTAGTGGCAGCCTGCATCCCCTTAGCAATATTGTCCAGTCAGATGCGGTGCAGATTGCAGCCAGTGACAAGGTCCCAGAGGCAGGGGGAATATTCCCGTCTCCTCCAGTATGTGTCGCAGGGATTGGTGTGCAAGTGACATGGTGGAAGAAAGCGCGAGGAGCCCGGCCTCGTCGCCCTCAGCCGGGTCCTTTCTTGGTATGGGAGGATGCAGAAGGGATATCCTATCTGAAGGTGCAGTTGGAGGTGTTGGCTGTCCATGGAAGGTATTTATCTATTCCTATCAATTCATTTTATGTTGAGGAATAAATTTTCATGTATAGTTATATTCTAACCATATTCTCACAGATGTTCTTTGACATTGATATGCATGAATAGTTGTACTAAAATGGATTAATATAGGTGGAAGGCATTTGCCCTTGAGAGAGACATCTAAACCTTTTTCATTTATGTGACATTTATACAGTTCGGTTCAAATGAGCTGTTTACCTTAAATTTTCCTGGTCTACTTCATTGCATCTTCAATTCTTAATATTATGGAGTTGTAGGATATTTCATTACTGGGCTTCAGTAGTATATGTTAATGATTAAAAGATAAGTACATCTACTGGTGAAAGGTGTAGCAGTTGCATACTAATACTACCATATTTTTTTATGATAACCAATTCTTTCTCAGATCGTTTTTTTTTTTCATATATATGATTATAATTCTTTATGCTTATAGTGGTTGATTTTCTTTAAAATGAAATTGCTATGAGCATAATGATTTACAACAAGAATAATATCTAGATTACGGTATCTAGGAATGCATAAACTATTGATGAAGGGAGTACATGTATATGTGTCCAGTACACTGTTTTTAATTTTGTTGACACCTAGATGCCCCCACAAGTGTTTTGTCACCAAGGAGTTAGTCACTAGGGTTGATTTCACCTGCTTACTGATTTATTTGAAGTTTTGAAAAAAAAGTTTTCATTTTTATTAATAATGGTTAGTAATGTCATAATAATTCAAGGAATGGCGTAAACAGAGTGATGTCAGGTAGACCTAGTAACTGATTCATTGATAACAAGCAGTTATAAAGCCTGTGTGTAAACATATTAACCAAACCAAACTGCAGTGGACACTCCATGTACCTGACACCAATTGGATAATCAAACTTGCTATAATAATATCTTAGGAGCTTCAGATAATACAAATATAAAGTCAGAAAAATAGGATGATGTTGAGCCACTGAGAGAAAGTCTTGTGCTTTGAACATTATAACATTGAATATTATTATATGTCCATAGTGAGTTTAGTTTATTAATTGTATTTATATATAGATGGCTTCACAAGTGCTTAGTCAACAAGAAATTAATTAATATTCCTACCAATCTCACCTGTTTACCATTTTCCTTGATTTTCAGAAATATTATTTTATTCTATATTGTAGTGCTGATGACACTAATAATTGTGATGTGAATAATGATGATGATTATGACACCAATATCAATAGCATTGGGAAGAAAAATTTATTTCCCAAAATCTCAGATAGGGAAAATTAGGCCAGGTCATGTAGACTAAATGATTCCAAGGTGACTGAACACTTGTAAAACCATCTATGTGTAGATAGATTTCTTAAAGTGATACTCAGTGAGCATTACATTTTCCTGGCTGCTATGGATTAATGACATATGACAACTTGACCCATTGATACTGGGAAGACATGTAGGCTATATAGCATACATGCTATGTCCAATGTGGGTTTAGTTTATTTATTTTGTTTACACATAGATGGCTCCACAAGAAGTTAGTCACCAGTGGGATAATTGCTGGTCCTACATATTTCACATCTCTACCATTTTCCATGATTTTTGGAAAGATTATTTATTTTATAATGCTAATAGTATTATTAGTAACTATGATAATCATAATGTTTAATGATGATAACAGTACTGATATTGATAGCATTAGAAGAAGAAAAAATAGGCCCTACTAATTGATTCCTTTGTGTCTGAACACACTTGATTATCTACTATAGCAGTTAGTATAACCAGAAGAAACAGTATATTAGTTGAACAAAATTTGTTTTTTGGCTTGAAATACATTTTAGAATTATCAGCAATTAGAGGCAAGCAATATAGCTGCATCTCGAGATACATCAATATTAAGGGGGCTGTTGCCGTAGATTTTTGACAAATGTTTTAAAAATTACTCGAACATTTGAAGAAGAAAATCTCCTGTAATCTAGTAGGCTTTGGCAATCTCGTGATGTGATCTTTCTGCTAAATACATAAAAAATGAAAGAGTTATTACTAAATCTCTAAAGCCTTTGGCCAATGCATCTCTCTCAGAGCTGATCATAATCTGACTTGGATAACAGTTTTACCTAGTCAAGCAGCTAATCAGCTACTAGACGGTCTTACACAATTACTCCTTCCAACTTGACTATATTGTTTAAGATATCTTGACTGTGCCTGTGTGGAACACTTTGGCACTTTTACTACTCAGTACCAGTATAATAGTATGGCAGTAAGGATGTCATTGACCACAAAACTTAAACTAGGCTGTTTGGTAAAAAAAAAAAAGGGGGTGGGGGTCCAGTGAGGGAATATTTTAAGCAAAGTTCATGTATTCAGTGCCCGGGAGTATTGTTGCTACTGATTGGTGAAAGTCTCATTCAAATGAACAGATTTCAGTGGTAAAGTAACTACTATCTGCAGCTGATTTGTCATCAACATTGAAAGGATTTTTAAAGTTACAGGCCTACACATACAAAATTATGGAATTACCTTCAAATGGAAAATGCAGCAAAATATATTTCTGCTTTAAGTCATGAATGCATACTCTGCAGAGGCTATTATGATTTTGAGAGAGGATCTTATGTTTGATTGTGAACAACCAGTGTCTTTTGTCAAAGGAGATTATGGTGTCCAGTATATTGTCATTTACACGAAAGGTGAATGGACTGCTGACTTTTTATCTACTCATTTTTGCAAAAAGAGTTAAGTTGTGGAACTATATATGGGAGATATGTTACAATGTCCCCCCTTCCCCTTTTTTTTTTTTCTTCTTCTTCATCTTTTTTTCTTCTTCTTCTTCTTCTTCTTCTTCTTTTATATATATATTTTTCTCTACAGCTCCTCACAAGAATGGGGAAATGCAGTAGTAGTTGGTGTAGTGCGAACGAGTGCAGTGAGTGTATTGGCTGTAGCAGGTGGAACTGGCCATCTTTATGTCTGCCATGCCCCAAACACTGTGTTCACTACCTTGATCAGCGTCCTTGCAAAATATCAGCTCTCAGTGGTAAGGTTATTGAGCAACTGTTATGGTGGTTACAAATCATTTTTTCTTGACAATTTTTAATATTATTGAATTATTGATGTTAATGTCTTTCTGAATATATATTTTTGTATGTTGAACATCTTGTCTGTGGCCTTGGTATAGTCATTTTTACCAGGCCTGTATATGTTATGCATTTAAAACCTCAGTCTTCTGTAAAGTATTGCTAATGAGTAGATATATAGGTACATTTCAGAAGAAAATGTAAATTGTTACATATAGGCTATAAATAAATATTTTATATATTTTCAGCTGCTCAAACTAAACTGTGGAGGGGTTGCTGTACTGTGTCCATGGGCAGGGGGAGTTGGTTGTCTTGCTGTTATATCGGCATCAGGTCTGGCGACACCCCCACTACATAGTCAAGCAGCTTCTCAGGAAACCCGGATTACTGATCCTGGTTTACTGAATTTCGTTGCTCAGACAGTTGAGAAATGTCTGAAGGTAAGACTGATTACAGGTGAAAAGATTATATCAGGGGCCATTGGTTTTAGCTGACAAATTGGAATCTATGAAGTTTGTCCATTTTTTTGTTCCTGACAGAAAATCTGAAAGCATATTTTCACAGGTGTGACCTGCTTTCTCCACTCTTAAGACTGATATCAGGAGTAGTTTTATATGTGCATCTTTAATTCTGCATTGAAATCATTATATGTGTAGAGGATCATTTGAAAATGTGTTTTTTTACATTTTAGTCAATTCTGATTAGGTATTAGTTTCACATTGCTAATAACATGACTTGCTCAGTCAACTAGTAGAAAGTTTAAGGAACCTGATGCATCAGGTATGAGGATTCACATTTCTTTTTTTAATAATTAATTCACTTTCTGAAATATTTGAATTTTTAATTTTTTTTTCAGAATGCCTCTCCACACATGAATGGGGAGACTATAGTAACCACTAAGAGGTTTTCTGCCCACCAAACAGAAAGATGGTATAGGCCCTTAAAGGGAAGCAGTGATGCTGTGAAAGAAATCAGGAGAAAGTAAGCAAATAGTAAATGTAAAGCAATGAGATACTGATTATAAGTGTAATGAGTATTAAAAGATAATAGCTCTTGTTTGGATCTCAAAAGAGCTAGGATGGTTGTCCTTTGACTTTAAGTCAGTCAGATTCTATGGTATTCTGTTAACATTTGCCTAAATATGCTTGTCTTTTATATGTTATAAATGTATATTTTTATGAACAGGAATGTTTAACACATTTTTTTATATACTTCATGCCCTTCTAGGAGTAACAAAGTAAGATTACAAGATAAGTAGGATACAACAGTTTCCAGTAATTGGGTGAATAGTGTGTAAAATAAAGAAAATCATAAGTCAGGAAATCTGATGAGTCATTTCTGTGTGTTTTATCCATTTTTCATCCTCTTCCTTGCTCTGTTCCTTCTGCTCCATCCTTTGCCTCATACATCTCTAAGACTTGATACTTTGCAATTATGTGTTGATAGTTTACGGAATTCTTACAGACGAGCCAACAGAATGGAACGCAAAGCAATGCAAGAGCGTTTGCAGAAAAGATACCGCCCCCAGATTCCTTGTCCTCTGTCAGCTGGAGAGATGGGACCTGTTGATCTTGTTGATGTGACGCAACCATTGGGAGAAGCTGGACCTTCTAAAAAGCCTACTATGAGCCGTGCTCAACAGCTAGTAAAGAAAAGTCATATTGTAACAGCTCAACAAAAAGTAAAGGTATGTTTTAAAGCACTAATTTTGAGTCTTTACAATGGTAATCCCTTTCTCAAATCTCCAACAATGCCATGATCCCATGCTTGGATATTTACTACCATTTTTATTTTGGGGGTTATTTATTTTACAAGTATGGAAATTTCAAAATACTTGCTTACAGGAGCAACGTGCAGAAGAAGAAGAACGCGTCCAAGCAACAGAGCGTAGGGCAGCACAAGCCTCAGAACAGGCTCGGAAGTCTCAGGCACTTGAATCACAAGTTTTGAATAAAGTGTCTGATATTCAGGTATGGCTGTTTCTACTAATAGTTTATTCAGGATATCTGAATATAAACTCCCGCAACAAAATATTTAGGCAGCATGTGAGGCAAGAACCCAGAGTTTAGGGTTCGATGATGATGGTTCGATGAGCAGTTACAAATCTTTATCTCTTTATCTTCATTTAAAACTAAATAATCAATTAAACATTATGTCAATATAAATCCATTTTTTGAAAAAAAGTAAATGTAAAGACAGTGTATGATATAATTTATTCAGTAAACTCCTAAGATAGGCCTACAAATATCTGATACCTGATGTTACATCACAAGACGAAACATCCACAATAAAAGAACATAAGCGATTTGTATTTTCAAATATTTTTAATATATCAGTGTTTTCTAAACAGTTATTTCTAATGAACAACAAAGTTCATTGTCCCTCCATAAAAAATACTCATCATCTTTATTCACATGGCAAAATGTTAATTGGAACACAAGATTCTGCATCTGCAATATAAAATTATATAGTAATATTTTGTACCTCCAAGCAAATCTATATGGCAGTGCAAAGTTTCAATGAATGTACAGTGATTTCTTTTCTTTTCCTTTGTATGTAGATTGTTGCCTGAAGAAGACAAGTGATAATCACTGTTAAATCTTCTTATCTTATTTTTGTTCATGTTAATTCTTTTTATTTTTTCTTACAGGACACAGAAAAGTTGATCCAAACTCTGAAGAATCTGTGCAATGGTGATGGCATTGAGACAGACCTCTTTACGTCAGCACAAACTGTAATTAACCTTGCCCTCATGCATGTCAAGAACAACTGTGGGAAAGACATGGAGGTTAGACTGTTATTTTTTTCTATATCATCATCTACTGTGTTACCATACTATGCAGAAAAAATAGATGCTGAAGCTTTGGGAATAGAACCCCTCCCTTTTTATGCAATTAAGGATGGCATGCAAATTGTTGTTTACCCTAGATAAATAAATGCTTTACAGATATTTACTTTGTAATTCCAGGGTGGATTGCGAAAATTGTTAGGTAGTGGTGTTATCCAAACGACGGTGGATATCAATAATGAGCATCCAGCAGAGTCTCATCTGCACCATTACAAACTACAAACTTTGTTGCACCTAGAGCTGTTATGGGTCTTAGGTAAGATACCCTAAATATATCATATACTTTTGAGATTGGAAATGTATGCATGGATGTCTTAGTACAGTGCACATCACTTCTGTTGGGAAATCATCCCTTTAAAAGTTTTAAACTTTCGATAGGTTATTCATCCAGTAGCCAAATGGAGGATGAAGAGGAAAGCAGGGGAAGCAGCATCCGAGAACATCATGTGGAGGAGGCAGTGAAGATGCTGAGGGCTATATCCCTTCGCCATAACCCAACTACTATGGCCACCTTAGGAGTAGGTGAGAGGTGTTTACTTCTCTGTTTTTCCATAAAGCAAATGCTAAAAAAAATAGATGACAATATAATAAAGAATATCCCTCTAAATAATAAGTGGTACCTTACTAATTTGATGTGTGGAAATAGTTTTACATATTCCAGTTTCATAATATCTAGCTTCATTATTAATACCATATTTAGAGAAAAGCATACAGATTATGTGATCTATTTTAGTATTTGATTGTATTGATTGTATAATGCCTTTGACACTATTTTCAACATTCTGACTGGTCTTTGCACCAAAAAAGGGCACAGAACCTATATTCCTTTGCATTTTTTCTCTGCTTCAACAAGGCCTTTGGAAGAAGAATTATTAGTATTTCATGATAATTTAAATATTGAGACACAAATCTCATTGCTTGACTTATATTAAGGTAGTACTATATCTATACATAAAATATGCAGAATGGGCACATAGCAAACATGCTAAATGCCATGACTTGCATCTGTAAGTCCACTTTGGGTATATTGTACTACATTTACCTGAAATAAGGCTATGATAATTAGGGGAGTAATTTACCCACAAACCAGGGATGTGCCCAAGTATAAACCAAGATGAATAAATGAAAGAATAGGGGATAGGGTATAGTTATTTAAATTTGTGTGTCTAATATTGTCACATTTTTAGTTTTCATTTCCCAAGGTCTCACATTATGATTATTAATGCCTATTGGAAACTGCATTGAAAGTTACTGTTGGATAGTGACTAAGATCATGTAGAAGTTAGCTAAAATTCAAGGAAGTGTGTTGAATTGTCCAGGTAAATATGGAAAAAATATCAAGTTCTCTTCTAAGATGGCATAAACAAGCAGCAGTCCATGTCTAGAATAGTGTTTAAAATCAATTCTCAGAAATTAGTATAAAGAAAGTTTGGGCAATTTGCATGAAAGTTTTCCTTTCCTTTCTCTTCCTCTTCTCCTCCACCTCTCTCTTGTCTTGTTTCATCTCATCTTAATTATCTTTTTCCCATTTAACATGCTTACTGTTCTATCATATGTTGACATGATTTTTTTTTTATATTTACTTTCACAATACTCCTTTATGCAATTTCTTTATAAACTAATTATAGAGAGAAATCATTAATGATCTTGTTACTGATGCTAAGATATATTATTGCTTATCTCCAATATTTTTTATTATGAGCACTTTTTAACTCCTTGGATGGTTTGCAACAACCATGTGGTCTTTCTTATTCTGACTGTCTTATTTAGCGTGCTGCTTGGATATCATGTAAAGATAAAACTGTATAAGTTTGCCTGTTTGCTGTTTTTTCTGATCTTATATAAAAAAACTTCTCTTTCTTTTGCAGTTATGTTGGAACTCTTGGGGAGGTGCTAGTAGAAATCTATGAAGAACTAAATCAACCTCTCCCAGGGCCACTGAAGATTCTCACAGGAGACTTGAGTTCTGTGGCTGATACGAGGCCCAATTCTGTGAAGTCCCATGTTAGTTGTTTTGATGGTGTATTGACTTTATTTTGCAAATTTTTGTTATTCCCTCATATGTAATTTTACAAAGAATCATTTTAGCAAAATGGAGCATGAAAAAATTATATAAAGTATAATTTTTCATTGTATGAATTATATAGCAGATATTACAGTAACCAACTTTTACACAGGCAAGTTCTGTGGTTAGTTACGACAGTACCTGTGGCTCAGTTGAGAATCCAGGCTCGGGCAAATCAAGAGAAGGGCGGAGAATGTCTTCACGTCATCCAAGCCTAAAAGAGACAAGCAAAAGAACCATTGTTATACCAGTTGTAACAAGGGCACTGAGGAGAACCAATAGTGAGCAAACTAAACAAGCAGCAGCTCCCCCAGCCTCTGTTGCAAATAAAGGTTTGTAAAAGTTAACAAACATTAGCATAATTCAGATCACTCAAGAACACAATTAAAGTCTTTAATCCTTTTTTTGTTGTTTGTTGTTGTGCTACTGTTATCATCATAATTATCAGCATTATTGTAATACTTCTTGAAATGATAACTGTTGCCTTATGGAATTGCTAGGAGAATGTAAGTACTTGACTTACACAAACAAGTTGCCAAACTTTTCAGGTTAATGTCAGGCATGTACATGTTTACCATATTGTGGATATACCAACATACAGCAGCAAAAATATGATATTGGAATGTATAAGAGGAGAATTACAGGATTGAGCGAGCAGTGAGGAAGTCATTGGAGACTACACATTAAAGAATTGTTTATTGGAGTGGTACAAAGAGTACAGTGTTTTCTCTTAAGTAAATGAATGAGGAGAGAATGCTAAAGAAAGTTATGAGATCTGATATGGTAGGCATGCACCAGAGAGGTAATAGACCAGGAAGAGGTTAGTTAGAGGGAGTGAAAGGAGGCTTTGGAGTTCAAGGTATGTCACTGGTGTGGAACAGGGAAAGAATGAGAGACAGGAGAAAGAGTGATGATGCAGCATAAAGATATCCTGCATCCTTTCCACCCTTTTTCACATGACGGATGGGGAGCTGTAAGTGGTAAATGATGTTAGCTCTTAGACCTTGCTGGCTTGCTGTTAAAGGATCCCATGACTTGGACAAACCGAGCAGCATGACTGTGGTCCCTGAATCTTAAAGGTGCTGAGACAAGAGAGACACAGCTTAAGTATTTAGGTAGGGGTAGGGAGGTAGATAATTATGTTTATTCACATGGCAAAATGTTAATTGGAACATAAGCTTCTGCATCTGCAATATAGAATTAATATAGTAAGATTTTGTATCTCCTAGGAAATCCATATGGCAGTGCTAAGTTTCAATGAATGTACAATGCTTTAACGTGTTAGAGAAATATCTATTATATCATGAGTATTCTGCAATAACATTATAAGTGAAATAAGTGTTTATACAGCATGTTTATCCATAATGTGGTCATTCTACTTTCAGCACTTAACAAAATTTGTGGGATGTCCTAATATCACAGAGGTCAGGGAAACACTGATGTAATGGTTTGGGGCAATAGCCACAGATGAACTTGTCAAAATAATTTGTTTTCTGTTACACTTAGAAAGGAATGACAGCCATGAGGATCAAATGATATGATATTAGTGTTGTCACAGCAGCACTAATACAGAATAGACTAAATATCATCATCATATTATACATATATTTTGGATAGCTAGGTGGGCATCTTTTTTATATTTTATATTACAAAGTACATAAATCATTCCAAGGAAATTTTCTTTTGGACAGCTTCTGAGTCAGCTGACAATGACATTAAAAAAGTGTGCCGCAACCTCTTTGACCTGAGTGATGGTGCAGCTCCGAAGCCTAAGTTGCAGAGATCAATGACTGTTGGATCAGTACCCGTGGCAGAACTGAGACGCAGCCCTCGGAAGAAGCACAGAAAGTCCACTGCTATTACCCCAAGGAAAAGCAGAATGTTAATGAAATCATCGAAAGGCTCTCATAAAACTCCTGTCAAAGGGATGCGCACTGCAGAAAAGGGCATGAAGACTCCAAAATCAAAGAAAGGTATTTGTAACATACTCTTGTTAGGGACATTTTATTGTTATAATATTCCGATTTCATTTTAGTATCAACTTAACCCGTAGCCGATGGGTGGCATGTACGTACATGCCATGGCTGTTGTGGACCGAAATGATGTATCGTATCCCGCGCCACTGGCTAGTCGGACAGAGTTTATTTTTCTCCAATAGTAGCGGCTTCATTTATATGGTAAAGATTTTAGGCAATGGCACCTATAATGAAGGTAAACCTTGAAAATTATAATATTTTTATTTATTATAGCAAAATAAAAAATTTTAGGTGCCAAATTTCACTTGCAAACTAATAATCGAGCTGGGTGCAAATGGGAAACTGCCAATGTGCGCCAACAATCCCGTTCTTACGTCCACTTGCCAAACATTTTTACCTGTTGGCACTGGGTTAAAGGGTAAGAAGTGAACCTAGTCTTGTTTATCTCTTAAGTACGGTGTATTATATTTTCTCAAAAAAGAAGTTGTGTGCTTAGTACTCAGACTTTGCACCTTTTCCTAGTAAGCTCTTACAAGTCCATGAAATTTTTTTTGTGAGTGTGTACTTTTATTAATATAACCACGCTATAATAATTATAGACAATGCTAGTTGAAAAAAGTTTGTATTTATATTATTCTGGGTTATGATAACACTTGGTCCAGGTTTTCAATTTGTATGATTTACCTATTGAAAAAATGCTTTATTTGCAACAGCATATAAAGCTAGATATGACTGGTACTCTATAAATTTATCAATCTTTATATCCTGTTTCTGTGAACTCATAATGGACTGGAGTAGTGTACACTCAGTGAATTGATGTGATCTTTTTGAGTTGAATAGGCACTCCATTGAGCATGTAGAAGTGTTGTTATCCTTTCTTGGGTAGGGTACTTCATAAGAAAATATACTTTTCCTTGACGTACATTATCAGACACAAATATTTTTGTTCTAAATCTCTATGAAACTAAATTAAAATCCAAACACTGTGAATATTCATATTGATGACTGTGGTAGGCCACCATGACAGATAGGCTTTTAAGGTTTTCCATATGGATAATTATAGAATTTTCATACATTGATATATGTTTTCTGGGAAAAAAAATATGTGTAAAACATCTCTCATAAAGTGAGATTTTAAGAATAATTTTGAATTAAGGTAACACTGTAAGTAACCTTAGTTATATTCATTTCAGTGTCTGACAGAACTCTAAAGCTAAATTTTTATTCTCAACACAGGAGGTGTGATTGTTCCTGAAACACCTGGGGACAAAGTTGGACAGACTATGTTTAACAAAAGAAGGATTCGGAAGAGCACAGGCACAACATTGGTCACTGAGAGCCCAGATATTAAAAGTATGTGTTTCAGCATTTTTATAGCTTCTCACTACTTTTCCGGGTCCTATCCTTCTGTCTTTCATTTCCTTTTTCTTCCCTCCTCCCTCTCCATCTTTTTCTCATCTTCTCCCTTCCCTTTCCCCCTACCCTCCCATCCTATCTCATCTCTTGCTTACTCTCCTACCCTACCTAACATAACCTCTCCTCTCCTCCCCTCCTCTCCCCTCCCTCCCTCCCTCCTCTCCCTCTTTTCATTTCTTCCCTTTTCCATTTCATCTCCCTCCCCTCCCCGCTTACTTTCTTTTTTTTTCCCCTTCCCTTTTTCTCATTCATGTGATTTAATTGCATATAATCCGAAAAATAAATCCTCTTACTTAATTTATCATTCCACAGGAGTCAGCAAAACAACACCCCGAAGGCTCCAAGCAAGTCTGACAATTACTCGCAGAAATTCGTTCTACTCTGGAGCACGTTCCCGAAACTGGGAACGTGGTAAAACGCAGTTGCTTGCAGACCATATCCGTAGCCATTCTGAAAGACGGAGCTTAGATTCTAGTGCTTTGCAAAGTGTGGGAGATGCTAGTTTCTTGTTCTCAGAAATCTTATCAGCAAGTCAGTCAGAGCTTTCACATCAAGATTCCACCAGTAACAACAAGGATCATAATGATGCTGGAACTCCAGAAAGACGTGTTTTGGACTATGGGCTAGATACAAGCACTGAAGTTGAGGAAAGTTCAGAAACAGTAAGTTCAGGTAATAATGTGTCCAATAATACCTCACAGTCATCATCAGTCTTCTCTGACTCACCTGCTAAAAATGCCCATGCACAGAGATTAAATAGGGAGTTTGAAGATTCATTATCTAGGAAGAACTTGAAAAGAACTCCTGTAAAGGCTGTGAAAAGGGCTCTCTCACTCTCTACTCCCACAAAACCACTTTTGGTTCCTAAATCTCCTAGAAGGAGCCTTCGTGTTGAGTCAGGCAAAGAGGAGCCTTTATTCTGTACGCCAAAGAAAGTAAATGATAGTCCTTTCAGTAAGAAAATGTTCTCTGTTGATGGAACAGTACCTGGCACACCCAAACAAAGTAGCCAGAATAAAACACTATTGGATACATCCCTATCCACTATGACACCAAGCAAAAGAGTGCAATTCAGTTTGACACTTACACCAAGTAAACGTGTTTTAATGGCCAATAATCCACAAACTCCCAAAAACAAGTTAGGAATATTGTCTAGTAATCCTCCAACTCCCAAGAGTATTCTGAAAACTCCCTCCAAGACTCCTGGAAAAACACCTGCTAAAGCCAACATTCAGAGTCCCGATATATTTGCTACAACTGGAAAGAAAGAAAAGCAGACTCCAATGAAAACACCATTAAAAGGTATGGATGGTAAAGCCGGCCTGAAAGTATCCAAATTGAATTTAGAAGACTTCAGTGAGAGAGTTCCTGAAACCCCTTCAAAAGTAGATATGGGTACTCCTGTGAAAGTAGGTACATTTGTCTGTAATGGAGAAAGTGAAATTGAACTTCTGTCACCAGTAAAAGGCAGTAGAAGGCATAGTACAAGTTCAGTCTTACTTTACACTCCAGAGAAAAAATATCCCTTGGCAGAGGATGCATGTATAGAGGATGAAAACAAGAATTTATCAGGAAATGAAGACCATGGACCAGACATTGGTGTCGAGACTTTAAAGGGTATTACTCCAGAGGATGTTGAATTAATG